TGTTGCCTTGGTTTTTCTCTGGCAAATGCTCTGCACTACTTGAACTTCCACAAGGAGTCATGGAAACTATATCAACAATCACACGACTTGAGTGAACTGGATGCAACCGCTCAATTCAAATGGCTCTCAGCTTGGATGCAGGTCTCTGTTGAAGGAGTGGCCCCATTATCCGTGAAGGAGTCCAAGGAACACTTTGATGGGATGGTGGGAGTCACCAAGTGCTTGAAGTCTTTGGCACAACAAGAGATTGTTGTGTTCATTCCTAAAGTGAAGGATGGGACGAATACTCATGCAGTAGCATGCACTCATGGCTTAATGTTTGACTCCACACAGAAGTACCCAATGAAAATGTGTCGTGATAGTTTAAGCTTCATTGCCGGTTCTGCTGGTTTTGGTGGCATTTGGCGTTCCCATCTTTTCACATTCAGCAAGGCACTGAAAGGACAGGTATCGAAGATTCAAAATTAGTGAATACAGGGATTAAATTTGTACTTGTTGCTATTTTCCACTTTTTCTCCGCTTCTTTCGATGGTATGTATCCTGGTAACTTTTCTTGCAAATTTCTGTGTTCAGGGAAAACGATACCATGTCTTGTTGTCCATTTGTTGCTCCAAGGAATGTGCGTTTTTGGCTTTTTTTCATGGCCATGGCTTTCCTCTGGAAGAGCTCCTTTTCAATTGCCTCCATTTGTTCTCTAACAAAATCCAGGTCTCTCTGATTCATACAATTACGGTCAATGTCTTGAAATTTTTGAAAATTGTATGCTCTTGATTTTTGACATAGTTCTTTTGGTTGTTGAAGGCAAAGCTGGTTCACGTTGAAGGCAAGTGCGGCATCGTCTCCCTGTTCATCATAGTTGCTATTGTCATCCTGTCCAAAATTGCTATTGCCATAGTCTGCTGGTGAACATGTCTCAACAGTGTGGTATGCATTTGTTCTCAATGGAGAGGGGTAGAACTTGTTGTTATTGGGATATTCACTCAGTGTGTAGTTCCAACAACATGGAGTAGGACTTAGATATACATCCACAAGTTCATCAATTGTTGATTTGCAACATGTTGCCTTTGTAAATACAGAGGGAAAGATAGCAGTTTGGTCTGTGCTTAAGATATTGTCCAACAAAGATGGCGTCTTCACCACTATCCCAAAATGTTCCCTCTTTTGCAGCTCGACGAAACTTTGGGTGATGGCCTCATGTGCCTCTTTGTATGCATAGAAGGCATAATCTACCCTCCAGCGACAAGCAAAATCGTTGATGTCATACTTCGTTTCCACGGCTAACAAGTGCCTACAGGGAATACCATACTGATGTCCAAAACCGCAAGAACAGATAAGCACTACCCTGGATCTGTTGCCTGTGCATGTTCCAACTTCCAACTTGTGAGCAGTCCAAAACTTTGGTCGTCCTTTGAAACCTGCTGGACATTGGACATCACCTTTAGGGGGGACTGCCTGAATTACAAAGAAGGCTTTTCTTGATAGTTGTACAGTGCAGATTGACCTCTGGATTCCCCGCCTGGGTTTGCAACCACTGTATAAAGTCTGCGGCAGACGAGTTTGCTCCATTGGCAGCTTTGGCTGCAATGTATTCTGGTGAAGTTATCATGACAGATCAAGTCGTAGACCTAGAAACATAGCCATGCTTCAACTCAAGAAGCATCTTCCGAGATTGCGTACCTGTAACTGCTGCCTTCTGTTGGGCACAGACTATTTGTCGAGCTTCTGCAGTGAGGTTGTGTGCTTTTATTGGTAACTCGGCTGCAGGTTTGGCATGGTATTTGTGGAGGGTGTCTCCTTTACAAGAGATGTAGATATAGGATTGATCACCTGCCTTTTTACTGCTATGAATACGTAGTCTTAGTCTGCAGGAGCACAACTTGTCTCCTGTAATGTCCTTTGAAGTGTGCGTAGCTCGGGGACAGGTTTGGCCATCTGGACGATTTCTCAAACGATTGTGATGGTAGGACTTGTGCCGGTATTGGAGAAGGACTCCTTTTTCATTGAATTGCTCCAAGTCCTGTAGTTTTGTCCCTTTGTATGGCTTTGATCTATAACAGGTCAACCATCCTTTTGAGGCATCATAGGTAAATTCACTTCCATGCTTTAGGCCAATTAGTTTCAAATGGTGAAGCAAATCTTTGAGGCCTTGTTTTGTAGGTGGCCATTGTTTTGAATCGAATCTTGCTTTTCTTGTTTCAATATCATTTGTCACAAATGCGAACAAGTCAGCGGATTCACCGTCATAATCAACAATACCATCAAATGGGAGCTTGGCAGGCCATGTTTGAGCTTCAGCAACTCTGAGTTGCAGTCCTTCTTCTACTTCCTCTTGGGTGAGATTTGACGCATTTTCCAAAGGCATTGGAAGCAATGGGGGAGAAAATGGCAGGAGTTTTGTGTTGGTCTACTAGGAAAATTGTTTTTGTTACTTTGATGATTTTGGCCAAGTCAATTTTGGCGCCAATGCTGGTGCAAATCCATAGTCAAAGGAGTCGGTCTATAACAAGGTCTACAGTCATTCCGCCGTCGGAGCCATCCAATATTGCATCAAGCTATCAAGGCAGGCGTGCGGCCGGCTGGCAACATTTGGGAGAGTCTTATCTGCTGGTTTTGCGACACCACCAGTCTCTCTACACGAGTTCCTACAACATAGTAGTACCACAAATAGTCTTGTTAAATGAATTACTTAAGGAAATTTTCACTTGTGTTTCAAAATAACTCTGGTACAATAGCCCTGTGGCGTCTCTCGTAGGAAAATGTTCTGATGTATCAAAAAAATGCCAGTACATTTTTTCTGTACGATGACTACACAGACATTTTTCACTGATGTGTCAAAATGCAAATGGATCAGTTGGACTAATTCAAAAGATTCGTTAAGAGAGTAATTACCGCGTATAATTTTCATGTTCCATTGTTTTCTCTTGACAAACTTATTACGGGTCACTCGAGGGGGGTTTTCGATTTTGTCTCATCTCCCGTTTCTTGTCGCAGTGACTTGTTTTGATTTCTTTGACCGGTTTCAAAAAGTTGTTTTAATTTATGAGGTGCTGGCGGGGGGGGAGAGCCGTGCGTAGTAATCACGTCCGACCCTCAAAAGTTGGTGGATAGACAGACGAGTTGTGGGGAGTCCAGTCCGACTCAGCACAGCCCGCCCCTGCCCCCGCCCCACAGTCAACAAGACACATGGTGAAGAGTTTTTTCTTTCTTCTCCAGCAGTGCTGCGTTCCATAGTTTTAGTGTTTGCAGGATGCCTAGCTAGCTAGTGGCCAATGACTAAATCAAATCCACTTGTACTAGCGATATCGTCACTTTGGCTATTTTCAGTCAGAGAAGTCCATTTATTTGCAGAGTCCTCGCGGGACTGCTCCAGAAAAGTTGGCAAGAAACAAGACACAGTTTTAGAATTGAAGGGCAAAAAGCAATCCGTCAAAAGCCAAAGCAACAAGCCAAAGCAATCTACATTTTCGACGACTGCACTTTTAGAAATTGAAACACAAGAAAATACACAATGGTCAAAGCATTTTCCATTATTCTTGCTGCACTAGCATTCCTGTCGGCATCTGTGACTGCAAATGACGACGTTGTAAGTGCTGATAGAAACTGAGGAATGAAAAATTACATGCTTGATACCGAAAGATTCCCCTCGACTCACTGCTTTTCCATCGTGTATTAACCACAAATTTAGAACGTGAGACAAAACCTCCAAGTAACAATGGATCCCTTTTGGCCAGACCGAGATTCTTGCGAAAATAGTTTCGATGCCAATGGCATCCCCCAACTGGGACCATGCGATCAATCAAGATTTCCTGTTTGCAAGGACAATGAACAGTTGTGCTATAATCGAAAGCCATCAAGGGACGAATTCTTCGATGATAACCACCAACCCCGTTTCTTCATACAATACGACAGAGTATTGTGCTATCCTGAGAAATGGGGTGCATGCAGTGTGATCTATTTGATGTTTCGATGGATTTATTTTAAATATTGTGCGTGAAGCTTTCGTTGCGAAAAGCAGATTGTCGTTGTCGTTTTCAAAAGGTTGTTGTTTGTTTGAAAATATTCAAACGGCCTTGGCCAACGATCAACATTTGTAATCGACTCAAAAGCTCACCTTACTCGGATTAAAGATCGATTCAAGCGATTCAATGATATGACTCTCGAAGGTGATAAATCTCTCACTCCCTCTCGCCAAGAGAGTCCCAACCCATGAAACGATTGCGAAGTATGATGAATTGATCTTTAGGAAGTGGTTTGGTGAAAATATCGGCCATCTACTCTTTCGTAGAGACATACTTGATGATTATGATTTTTGCCAATATGTGAGAAAGAAAATGATGTAGGCGGACAGACAAGTGCTTGGTCCTTGGTCTTGTTCGGTGATTTGTTGCAATCTCAAGGCAGCTTCGATTATCTTCAAAGACAGTGCATACAACCTTTGGGGTATCCATAGATAAGTTGAAACCCAATGAACGTAATTCATTTACCAGATTCATAACAGCAATGACTTCACGTAGAGACGTAGATAATGCAATATATTCAGCTTCAGTCGTAGATAATGCAACCAATGTATGAAGCTTCGATGCCCAAATAATTGGGCATCCAGCGTAGGTAATGATGTATCCTGTTCGAGATCTTGCAGACAAAGGATCAGTTGATGTGCGGTCTTGCCAAGAGCCGGCCCAATCCGCATCCACATAACACTCCAACCCTTTCGTAGGATCTGGCTTGAATCGAAGCCCTTGATGTTGTGTTGAGTGCAAGTACCTGCAAATTCTTTTGACTGCAGTACAATGAGACTCTTTTGGGTCATTGCAAAATCGAGCACACTGTTGTACTGCCATCGTGAGATCTGGGCGAATCATGGCTTGTAAATAACTAAGGCTGCCCACCACTGATCTGTAGTTCCACGGATAATCATGAGCTTTACCGTCTGGGTCCTTGTCTAATATGTTTGCACTGGAAGCTGGACTGTCGTGAGTTTTGACTTGGTCAGCAGTGAGCCCGACCATTTCTAATATTCGTTGAATCATGCGAGGCTGTTCAAGAAGAATCGACCCGTCGGGTTGTTTTGTGAAACGAGTACCAAGATCGTCTTGTAGTTCCCCATCGTCAGTCAAGTTGTATTGTTCTTGTAGGGATTTGATTTCTTTATTGATCAAAGCTTTGTTTGGGGACATGAGGCAGGCATCATCAACGTAAAGTACCAATATGATGTCCTGTTTTGTGTATAAGCAAGAATCGATGCTTGATTGTTGCCATCCGCGATCGATCAATCCCTTGTGGAGAAATTGACCCCATGTTTGTCCCGCGTCTTTGAGCATCTGAAACAGTAGGTATGACCTTTTTAGGAAGAAATTGCCCAAAATTCCCCATGGTCTGCCATTTTTGCGGCATGCCTTGTCTTTCCCAAAAGTCCCTTGTCCTTTTTTTCACAAGGAGCCCCC